ATGGATATATCATTGCGCAATCACACATTTGTTTCGACGTTAATCTTCATATTATAAGGGCAGCCTATCCTGGGCAGGTATACATACCTCATATTACCTATGTATATGGTCTGTATTAGTCTCAATACTCTATAATATCGCCTACAATATTCCGAGACCTAAGAACACGCGAAGGTACCAGTTATAAGTTTTTCAAAACGATCGCATCAAAGTCACCACGTTTGTATCTTACACGGACAAAAATAATTGAACACGCCCAAACGGTATGGATAGTAGTCGTCCGAAAGGGTCTATCAATTTTTCGGTCAAAACTTTACCTTTCCCCGATGGACGACCATCGCCCAGCTAAAATATTACAATATTATTATAAGCCCATTATTGTCGTACCTAGGTATAGTCATATGTTGTAAGTCCTAAAGTTTATAACGTATATACGTATCAATAGCGTTTCGCGGACGGGAAGAATGGTTGGCACGATTTGGAAAAAAAAATGTCCTTCTTACGACATTCCACCGGTAAAGTCTGCCGAGTTGATCGTAACGATTTTTACGTAGTCGACCGTTTGTCTTATGCTCGTATACGACAATAATATACGCTCGCGCATAATAATATGCAAGTCGGCCGTCGAGTCGCGAGCGTTGTGGGCTTCGGTCGTCGACAATTGACGATCGGTTTGTCCGATAACGTCGGCTCCCCGGCAAAGAAGGTATGATCCGGACGACGACGACGTTTGTTCGTATGACACATAATATTACATTACATTGTTGTTGCCTACGCCCGTTCACGATAATAATAATATGTACACTACCGTGTCGTGTGTACAGGGTAATCCGCGGTCTGCAGTGATATTATAATATGATATAGTTTGTATACAGTAAGTATAACGCAATAGAACGATTCTCATTTTTGTTTCAAATTTTTATCGCACACGCGATCTTAAACACGATGCGCGCAATCGCAATGTAATTTTCTTAAATTTTGTCACAACGCCACCCCTTACAACTTTTAGGGCGCAGATGTTTAAAGTGCGGGGTTTTGCGTTATTGCTGTCTTAGAGAAAAGTAATAATAGAGGGCTCCAACAGACGGTGAAAAAATCAAATTTTAATGAAATAATTGTCTTCGTTCCTATATTATTCTCGAAGAATTTCGATATTGTCGAATTCATCATGTAGGTACGCTTCTATTATACAAGTCTGCATCAGCACCACTCACGCATGAAAATTATATTTTGTCGTTAGAACTCGTTTCGGTATAGGCAATAGGCGTTAGGGCTAGGTATAACATAATATTATGATATAGGCACCACTAAAAACAAACTTTTTTTTTGATGAGGGGGCTTGGAGGTTGGAGGGGTTGGTCTAAACACAATAGGGTTTTTACTATACATCCGTATATTCTACGAACATCTATGAGCCTCATCCGGAATTGGACGAATGCCGATCACCCTGTATATATCGTCCACACACGCACGCACATACAGATCTCGGAGCACCGGCGGCGAGGCGGCGGATGAGTGAAATACGCAGTTGTGACGTATTGAGTTTGTACTGTTTTCACAATGCAGGGTAACAACTACGGCACATGTGTGTGTGTGTGTGTGTGTGTGTGTGTGTGTGTGTGTGTTATTCGCGCACGCAATCCAAATATCTCTCGTGCCGCTTCCCGTTTCCCAGATGATATCTCCGTGTCATGTTTATTGGCCACGTCGCGGGACCTCCACCGCACATAAACCCTTTTCCGTAAAGATATATGCAATACGTCGCGTATGTGTATAATGTGTATAGCTTCCTTCCTTCCTCCGCTGTCGCTTCCTCGCCGTCATCCTTTGGTCGTCAGTTTCTCTCCCTCTCTCTCACACTCTCCTCTGTATACGTCGTCGCGATCTCGCCGTACATATATTATTATTATTTATACTCGCAATACGTATTATTTATTTATTACCTACTTTTTTTTTTTCGTTTGTTTCGCATCGCGACTATATCTCGCCGCCAACACGAGTACAATACGTACACTATACACACACACACATAATAATATAATATATATTATAGAATATGTATAGCGACCGCGTGGGCCGAACCGGAATATCCGCGATCGACCGCGCCGGAGGTATCGTGTTTTATTTAAAAGGGTCGTCCGGCTGACGTTTTCAACCGAAGATATTGCAGGTGTAGTGGTAGTAGTTGTTGTTGTAGTACCTAATAATAGTAGTAGTTGTAGTAGTAGACAGTAGTAGTGGTAGCTTGGTAGTTGTACAAATATAGACGACGACAATCACACAATACGATCGTTCGCATATTTTATTCACATTTTTTCCCCCCCGACACATGTTTATATTACAAACGTACACTATCTTAACTCAAAGAAAAATTATACTTACCCATTTTATTCAATGCTCATATAGCACTTCCCGTACATCACCGAAAATTGTTTCCTTTATGAATTATTAAATAATCTTATTAATTATCCCGAGCTCTTAGAAAAAATTCCACTAAATGTACCACTCTACACTCTCGCTCTTCTAACACCTTTTATGTACAAGCAAAAAAAAAATTATGGTCATTATGCTCCCATGAAAAGAATTTTATTAAATGGTAATTCCATCAAAAACTTTGACTTTTTTTTTTGATCCACCAAGCAAGTTAAAAAATATTCTTAGTATTCACTTACGATGTTTTACTTATTGTGATTGTATATTTATATGTTTAACACTTATGTTCGTATGTGTTTCAATTTAATATGTAATTAATCGAGATTATTATTATCTACTAAAATTCTTACTTTATACTACCTATATTTACTTTGTATACCTGTAAATCTGTACTCTTTGCCCTAAAGGGCGTCATTATTTATTGTTAATCTTCCTTTACAATAAAGTATTATTATTATTAAAATACCGCCTTGTATTGCAGCTTTTCTCCCATATTCATAAGTACATAATATACATATAGCTATAATTCCATATGGTAACGTTAGTGAGTGGTTGTATGTTCAACGCAGAAAACCCGTTTAAGTCTAAAGTGAACCCATATTGCTACAGGGACGGCGAACTTATGGCACCCGTACTTTGGTGTTTTTAGCAGCACGTGCAACGTATTATATAACAATATCATTCGTCGAAAAATGAAAACATATTATAATATATTAATTTATATATATATATATATATATACAAACTATGTATATTATATTTGAACCTATCTACTTACTGATAACTATTTGTTACTGTATGTATTAAAATAATATGTAAAAAAAATGTAATTGTAAATTCTAAACATAGTATTATGTCTATATTTGTAATTGGACAAGCATTCAACATATTTTCAATCATGCATTAAATCGTCATCAAATATACACAAAAAAAACTAAATGCGTGTAAACATGCAACTTAAATTATATTAATCTATACACAAAAAATTGTTTAAGCTGTTCATCACATCCCTTGGTATTTCGTTACGATTTCGAAATCTTTTTCGATTGCCGTAAGAGACGGACTGTTACGCACTGCAACTGCAATTTATTAATAATGGCTAACGACTGTATGTAGTAGGTTCACACGTATCCATACAGTATTTTCTCGGTTTTACATTTAGAACATATTGGTGGATATCATACTGAATATCTGGAAGTACGCACAATAGTTATGTTTTAATTAACCGATTTCTGATTTGGCAACATAATAATAATATCATGTTTGGCAATAGACAATAGTTCGAATGGATTAGCAAATAGTGTAATCGGTTCACAGCTGTTATTTTTACCACAGAATTCATTTACTTCAATTAAACAAATTACATTTTTCGTTCCACCTATGCATGCAACGAAAACTACCAAGGCTATCAGATAATTTCTCTTTCTGGTAATTAAACGGAGGCATATTATTTTCTTTAAACTATACACATAGTGCCTATATGTATTCCTATAAACTCACACAAAACACTCAATGTAAAATTTCAAACTATTGATTATCAATGCATCTTTTTGATTCGATGCCAAAATATGAGCATTTTGTTTTTTTTAGTTTAATTTCAAATGAAAAATAATCCATAATGTTATGGAATGAATAAATATAAAAAAATTCAATTTATTATGGCATCATAGGATTAAAAATTAAAATATACCGAAACGGGTGCTATAGGTAACTACTGCGTATAGAATTGATTCCCAAATTATATTAGTTATATTACACAATTTTATGATATTGTTTTTACCAATGACTTAACTCTGCAGTGTGCGAATTCGAAACCGAAATTTACATAAACTATACAATGACATACATTCAACAAGCCGGCTCTATGCACATAGTAATATAATATTGATAGAGTAATACACCACACCTTATCACGTACCAACTATAATATAATCGTTCGACGATCGACGATAAACATATAGTGTACGCCAGCTATATAATGCGGCTGCAGAAGTCAAAACTACATATTCTTTCAAAATATTGTTTGTTAAGAAATAATGTACAAGAATTCGACAAACCTTATAAATCACCCGACTACTATACGCGCGATAAATGGACGATAATAGAATATGATACATACATCGATTTTTCATATTATTTTGTCCTACAACGCAACAGCACCACGATACCTCGAGCTTGATTTTATTACGAATCGCTGTTCGCGTATACTCCGTTCGACGACGAAGACGATGATAAAAACAATTATGATATATTATTATAACATTATACGGCTTCGCATCGACTTCGTTAGGTATGATGGAGATCAGCATTTATCTTGCTCTGTTTCTGTACCTGTATATTATTATTATTATTGTAGTGCCTACAAATATAATACATAATATTATGTATATAGCACGCGGACCACAACATTATCGGTCGACGGTAAATCGGTACATCGGACATTTTTCAGACGGATGCCCTTGACGGACGCCGCCGGCGCAACGGATCTCTACCGCAATATTATCATTATTATTATTTTCATTAGAATAATAATAATATCGTCGTCGGTGACTTGAACGGTCGGCTATGACAGACGCGAACATAACTCGCTCCCACTTGGTCGTCCGGCTAAACGCTCTCCGCCGCCGTTGTCGCCATCACATAACTATCGGCTCTGTTGCAGCGCCTTTCCGTTTCGTGCAGTTTCCTCTCCACGTTACTATATAATATTATATTATATCTATTATCGTAACAATAAAATAAGTAAGTTTTCCAGTTTAGTTACCACGATCGGTCATTGTTTTCGCTGTCGGTGGAATATACCCCGGCCACCACCGCCCCTGGTTGGTATGTAAAACGACCACACCGCTGTCTGTAGAGAAATCACACGCACGGCGCCAAAGTTAAAATCAAAAGAGAGAGACAGAACATCCTCGCCAAGAACGAGGTAAGTCGAGGGAAATCTAAAGTTTTTAAATTAATTAGTTATTTTTTTTTGAGAGGGGGGCTGCACCCTGTCACCCGGTCAATTCTAATAATAACATATACCTAATAATATGCATATCTCGTCTGCGACGAAATGTCCTAGTTGTGTACGGATGATTTTATTCGAGTTATTCGAAGAACCTTAAATTTTATAATAATGCACTGTTGTTATGATAGCAACCGATAACGATGAATGATTATATTTTTATTGTCGTTTAATTTGTTTCGATCTTTATCCACGAAAAATATTGTTCGATATTTAAGCATTGCAATCTCAAATTATACATACTCGACATAAAACACACACTAAATATAACAATACATCAGCATTCTTAGTACGTCCGGAGAGCGTTATTTAGAAAAATATGAATTATTTAGTTGACGCTCGAGAGTGATTAATATGTATGGCATAAAACACTTTTTGACATTCAATACATAATCCAAATTAAAACTTGTTCGATAATATTCGATTTTCGTGCTGATTAATGTTCTAAAAAAAAAAAAAACAATGGTTAAAACACTGCCAACATTCTCGATTTTAGAGTACTTGATGAGTTGAATACACATTGTGATTCTTGAACATAATAATATTATATTATACGAATATTACTATGATACACGTGTTTCTTGCCGGGTGCAGTGCGTCAATGATATTATGATTCTTAAACTATATAATTCATATCTATTCAAAAAGGTATTCCATTCCGATTAAAAAAATTAATATTTAAATCACATTTTATAACGATTTTAATAATAATAATAAAGGAAAAAAAATGCCATTGTTATTAATAGTAGGCAGGTAACAATATATAGTTGAAATTAAATTTGAAAGATTCTATAATCCTACAAAAAGCTAATGTTTTAATGAAAAGAACAATTTATGTAGCTACATTAATAAGTCTAATCTATCTAGATATCTATAACTTAACTAAAAATTTACCACGATGTACTTACGTTTTAAATTCTAATGCTACTAATATCATTATTTGTTGGTTGTCACATTTTTGTAGTGACAGTATTTTTATTTTTATAATCAGTCTTTTACTTTTAGAAAATAAGGTTCAAGTATATCATATAATAAAAAGTAAATAATAATGTCGTACCTATATTTTTAGTTTCTTTAATCATTTTGTTAAACTATTGGAAAAAAATAAAATGATTATTTGGTTTTTATTTTTTCATACTATTATTTGTCGCCTGGTACAAATTTCAGCACGACATTGTTATAATAACACACAATTATATTAGCATCAAGCATAATATTTTAAAATGAGGATGAATAATGCATGGTAACTTATTTATATTTTATTGTTTATTAGCATTGTATTAAATATTAATGATATAAGGCTGTAACACGATTCTGTAAAATAATATTTTAGATCCTAGGTATAGGCATACAACTGGTTTCTATAATATGTAGTTACTATTTTGTTTAAATTATAGATCATAAAATAATCTTTGTTAACAATACTTTTTTGATTTATTGACTCATTCTTAAATAAATATCTAACCAGTTTATATGATAAAATGCCTAAGTGGAATGTTCAAAATACGCGACAATATAGTTAGAAAGTCCAATGGCGTTAAGGCTATTGTAGTCTGAAAGCCGGGAAGTGCAATCATTTCATTATTTTTTTTAAATACCTTTACTTAGGAGTGTTGAGACTTGTACATGAATGCATTTAAAATAGGTTCGATAAGGTTTCGAATGCAGTTCAATAGGTCTCGTGCAGTTTTTCAAGGTCTCTCGTAATGATATTAATTAGGAAACCGTTTGTATAATGTTTTGCAAACGCAATCGCTGCAAGTGCGCGCACACTGTCGGCGGCGAACATCCGTAACGAATAGTAACGAAAAAAAAAAGGAAATCAACTGCGTTACGGTGTTGGCCAATCGCGCGAAAAAAAAAACGAAAATGTTATTATTACACAATGTTTGCCGGTCGGCGAGCGTCGTACTTGTCATTCAACGACGTCCCTCCGACGGTGGTTGCGGACCATCGGCCTGCGGGCGAGAACCTTTTGTCGGCCACCGCCGCCGGTCGTTTTATCCGTCTCGGATCGGCATGCACTTCATACGACCCTTCAGACGTAATATAATAATAATCATTGCGCGAGTGCGGCTCAAATGTATTTAGTATTCGTCGAAATCATCACGGGACACCTTGAATATTGCGATGATACTCTATGTTGGTCGTCAGCCAAATGTACCTACATATATTATATATATATACATTATATAATACGAGACGTTATAATATTATGATGATATTATTTTTTATATATTACTTTTATCGTATCATATACTATACAGGGTCAACCCCTTTATTTTCTTCAATGATGCAGCTGACCGATATTTGATTTATTTAATTTTTAAACATATTTTAAGACCATATTTTCAAATTCTTGAGATTTTTTTGTACTACTTGAAAAGTGACCCGTGAAGATACAAACTTCTGTTTTTCAAATGACAACACCTCTATTCAACTATAAAGTATATAGTCGACAATTTTCCTGAAATTCTTACCAGTAGTTTTTGAGTTATTTAACTTTCAGTTCTGAGGATAAAAGGTCCCAAGTAATGAGTTTATTAGATATGGCGGTAATGGCAATTTGAAAATTCTTGTCATTAATATTAATCTATCGGTATAAATAATTTGTAAAAGTCCCAAATATAATAAATACTAGATCCAATTTCACGTCCATTTTGTATTTATGTAAAACCAGTTTTAAGGGCTATTATCCCTAATACGAACATTTTAATAACTAATAGAAACTACTCATTTAATTTTGAATGTGGAACATCAACATTTTCAAAAAAATTATCCACTAATTGATTTACAGTAAAAGATTTGGGTTCTCATTTGAAAAGGAGAATGTTGTATCACCACAGGGCACTCTTTAAGTAGTACAAACAAATTTAAGAATTTGAAAAGACGGTCTTTGCTTAACCATAACTAAAAATTCCAAAAATCAGAATTTGATAAATTCATTATTGAATGAAAAAATGGGGGTGAACATGCTCAATGAATTTAACTGCAGTATACATACATACGCCTACCCGCGCGTGTGTGTATTGTTGTTGTTTTTCGCAATCTAAAAAAACTAGGAAGAAGCCTCGGGGGCTCTCTCCGACGAGCGGGGGTCCGACGTCGGACACATGAGTTATTGTTCGTCGTGTAAAGACAAGGCCGCAATCATCACGAGTCCTATTTACCAAATGCGTTAATTGTAACACGGCCGATACAGCCCGAGCCGCTGCAGTGGCGCTGTTGTGTATATTATATTATAATATCATATATATATATATATATATATATAAGGTGTATGAGAAGCGCACACGAGCGTCAAATTACAGTGATTACTGCAGAGGAGACGAAGGCGGAGGAAGAGAGGAGCAGAGTGAGTGAGAACACGCCGCGCGGAGGCGACGGCGACGACCTTGGCAACCAAAATGATTTGTCAGCGAGACGATCCGGCTGCAAATAGGTAGGTATCTACGAGGTACTTGCCTGTGTAATGATATTTTATAACCGGCACACGAAATCTCATTAACGGTGAACCATATTATATTATTATAATATTATATATTTGCGGGCATATTAGGTCTTGTAGTTAGGTACCTACAATATAGGTAGGTATAATATGAATTAGGTACATTATTATTATTATTATTATTATCATCATTATATTATCTAACGTTTTACGCGAGTCCTATTAGCGCCGATAAACGTGTAAGTACGCCTAATAAAAATTCGCCCGCGGATAAGGAAGATGATAACATCACAGAACAATAATAATAATAATAATAATATAGATAATATAGATAATATAGACTCCTAAGCAACGAGCATAATATCATAGTGATTTGATAATAATATAATATTGTATAGCTGCTGCTGCCAGTGGCCTGCTGGCAATATTTTTACGCATGCAATATGATCAGCTATATATCGCTAATGGTAACATCGATTGTCCACTGCAATATTGTAAATATATAAAATAAATCTCAATTCAGAAATCATTGCAGGTAAATTACATTCTGAGATGCGAGATTTTATTAGAAAATGACCCAAACTTAAACTTATCGATGTGTAAATCGGAGATAGTAACTATAATATTGATGACGGGGCTGGAGTTGAAAATGTTGATCAAGATACATTATTATGGTAAATGCATCGGTAAAAAAGCTTGCCAAAATTGCATAGCTTGTTGCTATAAAATATCATATGGTAATAAGTATATGTACACAATAATTACGGTGAGAAACTACTTTTTCCAAATCGAAATATGTATTAAATCGACTTAGAAACTGTTTGTCTCAATCGAAATTAGAAACATTCTTAATTATGTCCGTTGAGAAAGATATTTTGATGTCTTTGAACAATGAAAGTATCATTGATTAAGTGTCCACAAAAAGTTTTCAGCTGTCAGAAACGCTTAATTTTTAAATAAATATTCATTCATTCTTATTTGACAGATAAGTTACTATAATTATTAGATTGATAAGGTTTTTTTTTTATGTACCTAAAATACATGTTTATTTATCCATCTCAACTGCTTAATATAATATGTATAATTTATATTGTATGACATATGATGTTATTATTAAAATATGGATAGCTATTAAAGCTTATTCTATACAGCTCTAAAATGTATTTAAAAATGAATAATGACTTTATCTTATCGAAAAATGGGCAGTTCACTTTTTTAGGGTATGGTTAAAATCCTAAAACTCAGTGGGCCGATATATCTTTCCTATCCGGCGCTGGTTACGGCCTTGATTATTGTTATATGTATATTATATTATATCGTGTATATTTCAGTACACATATGCGTAATTAGGCGTTCAAGATCGAAATCGCGTTCAATGTAATCTATAGCAGGTGTATACCTATTACCGACGTGTAAATAGCCGGGGAACAATCGTACTGCAGAGCTATTATAAGGTTATGATAATCGTCGAGATAATTTTCCAACATAATTACAAGTCCGATTCAAAGCACGATGTCTGTCGCAAGTTGTGGATACCTCTATAAACATGATATACAATAAACATATTATACGCGCACTATCGTCGATTATAAACACCATATAATATGTTATAGGTTTTTATAATCAATGGTACTACAACACACGCGTGAAAGTCGACGGATCGAGTGCAAAACTCAAATAGAATTCGAAACGAAGCTGCTCATATAATAAATAGCTTAGAAGAACGTTATGAGATACATGATTTCTGTTTTCATACAAGAATATTAATTAAAAACAAAACGATATTGTACCTAGAATGCAAACCTCATTATATACAAACTGTATAATAATATTACGTTCATTCGCCTCGCTGTAAAATAATTGGACGGTAACCATATATTATTTATTGTTTATGAGCCTATCACACTATTAGCAAAATAACTTAATAATAATACGGTACTGCACCGCATGGACTATCGGAAGAAAAATGATATGACCTAGAAAACGGAACATATCATGTTTAGTGTCGAAAATATAATGATCAGTGTTCGATTATAGGTGGCTTACTCTGTTATTACGGTGTTGTGCTGAAATTAATATTCTTTATACTCAAACTCCTTTGGAAACATATTTACGACATAATATGGGTAATGATTGAAAAAAATAAAAAATAAACCGTTTAACTATAAATCAAAATAATTCTATTGAAATGTCCCAACCCCCCTCCCCACCACTAAAAAACAACGCTCTGCGCGGGCTTTCGATAGCCGTCGAAGTTGTACAATTTATTTATCGCAAACACATAATAATAATAATATTAATGTTATCGACGAGTGCTGCACGACCGCGATTGAAATATTTTATCGGTTTTCAACGGAAATGGACTAATTCTAATCATATTCTTAAGCACTAGTATTGTATTTGTTTAGTGTCCACGGTGCAGTGTGTCGTTTTATTCCCGTCTTACATCAGTCGGCAAAATAATATAATAATTGGCATCATCGATAACGTACGCGGACCACACCTTTTTTAATCAACACACAGTTTATCGATTTCTTCGTCCATTATTGTATACTTTATATGATTGGTAGGTATATGACGTCCATATGCACTATTTCCCTTTTTACCGACATCACACAGACGCACAGTACACTTTATCACCTTTAGCTGGCCAGTTTAATATTTATTTTAGCAAATAAATTGTTATAATACCATAATGTTATAACTACCTATGATGGTATAATATTATTTAAAATCAGGTATAGGATATTATTTATTACTTTTACAATCATAAGCTCATAAACAATATTAGACTTAATGTCAGTGGCAAGCATATTAAATATGTAAATATATTTTATAATCAACTATTTTTTTTTTAGATTTAGTTGTTCAATAATTCGGTGTTTTCAAAAAATTGAAGTGTTTTGCTTCCTGCTGCTTCGTCGGGTACTATATTAACCCCCCCCCCCTTGAACATGACGGGTTAAGATCGTGTTCGCTCGCTGTAGTCGATTGTACTCTCCATAGACATTCTGCAATGTACTATGTATATAAAGTTTTATCAAGTAGATAATAACGAATTAACAATTTGTTCACTTCAGAGTTACACTGTATAATCAATATTATGTATATATATATACGTATAGCATTATCTATCGATGATATTCATTATAGAGATGGACTGATGCCACTTTTTACCGATATCCGATATTCCTCCTATATAATATATGAAGCCATGTAGGACGCAGGTAGGTACTTCAATGAGTTATGTTACCAATAATCGATATCCGATAAAACCTATAATATACTATTAAGAGTTATCAATAAACAATAATCGTATGAGCATTCTTGATACGTGGTTGGTGGATTTTTATTTTTCTGAGATATCAGATCAAATATCGTCCTTTTTGAAGTGAAATACCTGCAATACCGGAGAATTGCTGCGGTATCGTCGGTATTGAATATAGATTTGGATAATAAGTACCTATATATCGGTGCGGCTCCTAATATATTGAAGTATATTTTCTCGTCGAAATACAACAGCCACCAAACGTGAAATATACCTATTGACATATTTAAATATAAACAAATATTATACTTAGGCGTATACGTATTTAATTGGAGAAAAAACAATCATCACTGCGTTGTTGGACGCGTGGATCGTGATTTCGTCCCCAAATGTCGAGGCCTCAGAAGAGCAGCGTACACCACATAATAGGTGTATATATATATAAATATATTCTATTTTTATACTGACGTTATCGACGGTGAGATAAGGTCGCCGCCGAGCGTGATACGATATCGCACACGTATTACTATTATTGCCGTATACATAATATTATAGTAAGCAAGGTATACAGGGCAACGAAGGAATCTATTAGAGCGTTTTTCGTTCTCGGCGAGCGCGCGTGCACATTGTATACGTATATATTATTATTATATTATATATCATATTATAATATTATATGGGCCGCGGAGGAGGAATCGTATTAGGTCGTCACGACGGGTGATTTATTCGTCCGTTTTCGTATTTCGTACACACACACACACACAAGCCACATATATATGACGCATTTATAATATATACCTAGGTAACTATCGTTGGTGGTGTTTGCGTATAGGTTCGCGTATTTTTTTTCTTCCTCTTCTTCGCGCATAATATATAATATAGTTAGTATATATATATTCTATGCGTGAGACGCTAAGACCGCGGCGATGACGAAAACTATATACATACCAGATAGGTGTATACGTATATTGTATGTATATATATATGTATTTATATAATGTGTACAGTGTACTCGATCGCCCTAAAATTAGATCGGATCACGATCCTATCGATCATGTCGCTGGCAGTAGGTATATATATTATGCATATAATATTATAATATACATCCTCGGCCGCACGCGCGTTAATAATCATATTTAGCCATGGCGAAAAGCGGTGGAAAAAGAATAATATTATATTATACATCTATATGGACACGGCGATGATAATCATACTAATAAAACCCGTCGCGGACGCCCTCTCCTCCGCCCCCCCCCCCCCAAAAAATAAAATAAAATAAAGACCGAGTGAAGCAAAAAGAGAGAGAACGAAACGAAACCCGTCCATCATCATCATCTAGATCATATTATTATTGTACGTGTGTGGGTATATATATATATATATACTATAAACAGGACGAGGAGGAGCCGCCGCCGCCGCGGACGTCGAACGGTCGGACACGAACGCAAACCGAGTTTGCGGTCGAAAGGCCAAAATCAATTTGGACTATTATTTAAAACGTCACCTATACCTGCTATAGGTGCACCGGTAAGTGTCGGTGCCACGAGCGGACAGGAATGCCCGGAAAAAAAAAAAACTTTAAAAACAAAACTAATCATTATAATACTGGTGTGGCAACGAGATCGAGATCGTGACTCTGGCGGAGCACAACTCGTTACGATTTTTAACGCTAACCTCGTGATGATGTCTGCGCCGTACGCGGTGTTGTTGTAGAAGTCGCCCGACCGACAGACCGACCGACCGACCGCCGCAGTAACTAGCTGGAGCTCGGCGAAGACGGGCGAAAAGTATACACCGTCCTCGGTATGATATTATTCTCAGGTATATACCATAGATACTGCGATATGCATATGGATATGACATGGGTACCGAGTTTTCAAGTGTGACGATGAGCATATTATACTACAGTTACCAAAGTCGTCGCGTGAGGGTGTGGTATCATCACAATTACAATTGAGAATTTATTCGAAAAAAATTAATTTAATTTTCGTTTACTAACATTTTTTTTTTTTTTGTCTAATATAGAAATAGTACAATTTTTAAAATAATTAAAATGATAATATAATAAGACATAATTAATACCAACTACCGTCATTGGTCTTTCGGAAATATTAAATCCAAATAAATAATTAATTGAATAACTAACAGTTATTCATAAGTTTATGATAAATAAATAATTTTATTCAAAAATTGGTAGATATAGGATTGACAAAAATGTTTTCTTAACCATAAATCAGTATCTATGATCACGCATAACACTATTATGCTAACTACAATAAATTTTTCGCTCACACTCAATATACCGTGTGTATTAGCTGGTATACGTCTGATTGATATATCAGGCCCTTTTAGATATAGGGACGTATTGATGAGTATATTATTATCATTGGGAATCGGTACAAAACTATACACAATAAGCTCATTTCGTGGAGGTACCGAACGCAAAGATTTTTCTAAAAATCGTTTTGGCGATAATTTAGTGGGCCTACGTTCGCGAGGTTTCCTTGTGCCACTCAACTCATCAAAACTTTTTCCAGTGGTTATACATAAATCGCTATCAATCAGTCAACGATTGTGTCACAATTAAAAATTGTTTTGAAAAAATAACTCAATTCAATGGGGTTGTCTTATTTCGAAGGGAATTGTAATTCAATTTTGTGTTGCTACGCATAAAGTCTAAGTTAAACATTTAATTTTTCAAAAATAAGTGTAACGAAAGTTTACCTATAACACCCGAATTCAAGATGTCGATACCTTTGCAGAATACATAATATAAACATTTCGTGATACCTACCTTTATAGTTGAACACATTTTATATTAAGTGATTTAAGTGATGACAGTATTAAACAAACATAATTTAAACATTTCCACGTAAACAATCAATAATAATAATAATGTATTAACGTCATATATATTTTAGATGAATCAACAATGTAAGGTTTGTGATGAACCGGCAGCCGGCTTTCATTTCGGAGCTTTTACATGCGAAGGGTGCAAGGTGAGATAAATGTTATAGTATGATATTTTGTTATTTTAACGTCCACATACAAGTGTAGCTATAACAATTTTTTATTAACAATTGACTGTAACATAATATGGAACTCGACTTTTTAGGATCAGTTTATCATATAGTGTTATATATTATTACCAATTTATACTTCAGCAAGAAGAACGCAAACATTTTAGTTATTGGTTTCTTAACTAATTTTTAATTTCCCTGCATGTAGTAACACAGCGCAACTTATTTTCATGAACAATATTTATTTTAAGACAATGCGATTAATGAATTGTATTTGTATATATTTCAATTTAAAAAAAGTTTTATCTGTTTAGAATAAATTAACATTTTCATATGATAACATGGGAAATTCATTCTTTTTAACTTTTAAGTCATTCAAATTTTATAAATTCTATATAATCCTTTATAAAACATGATAAATAACTCAATTGTCCAACCATATAATATGGAGTGACCTTCTAAGTTCTAAGACATTATAATAATATTATAGTTACTGCAATTGCATATCATCTACACTGCAGTTATACTGCAGCGCAGTCCATTGTTTTGATTTCAATTTGCATCCAAAGTAAATTTACAAATATTATTTATTTCTCCTATTGTGTTACTTCGACGTTGCTACCTATATTATGATAATCATTATGTTGTAATTATTCAAACAATTTTAAAAAAGAAAAAAACCTCAACATTTTGCACTTCCACTATCGCGTGCGTATAAATATTCATTTAATTCCGGTTTAGTTGTAGGTATTGTCTTTTCAGAATAATAAAACCATTCCTAAAATATCTCGTCCACATCCAAACCTGGAATTTTATAATATTTTTTTTATTTTGCGCTTGGTTTGCACAAGCATATATTAATATATGGAACGTATGGCGTTATTAATTGAGTTTTATGATGGTGCGGATAATGTAATAACACTGTCTTGTTGTATTAAGTATCATTAACCACACATACTGGCACATCGTTAATCATATTGTTTTATTTAATATAATAGAAAATAATATATAGTCTCTCGTAATTAACAACAGTACAGGTGCCGCAGTGTATTTGTGTAACCAAAAAGGTATTTCGAAACTTACCTACATATCGGTATTATAGGTACTCTGGCACTGGTGTATGCCTGAAAAACGTCTAACATCATAATAATTTCATATTCATGTACAACGATACATTCGTTTAATACCTATATAATTTCCCCTTAATTCTAAAATCTAAATTGAGGAATTTAACGATTGGACTATTATGTAACATGACAATGACTAAGTTATCTGGACAGTACATATTATATTAATGTATTTTTAACATTTAATCACCAATTATTCATTTAAATTATGCATTTGTTCGTTATTTTAGTCGAGAACCACCTCTCGTACTATAGTAACTTGAGCCAATAATTTTATTGAACATTCTGATGTGTCCAAATCAAAATTTAAACAAGTAGTTACCATGTTATTACATATTGCGAACTAAAGCTAACATTCTATGATAGTAAGCTTAGAAGGTAATATGAGGTTATTTTGTAATAATATTTAAAATAATATTTAGTAGATACAATACTTATAATAATTATACTCAAACTATTTTAATAAACTATAAAACGCTAATAAATCAATACTAATCAGTGATTACTGATGCCAGTCATTTTCAAAGAATCGTAGCTACTCGTTTGATCATCGGCTTCGATATACTAACAACGGTTCAAAACAAATATATTGTGCTCCAAAATAATTCTCAATAAAAAAAGTACAATACACTCCTTGAATAGTATAAAACATCTAAATATTTGAAAATATGGCCTTTGAATAGTTATCTACATAAACTTGATTAATAATTCCAAAAATAATGACATAAATTAAGGATAAAAATAAGGTAATCATGTTTAGTGAATCACCCTGACCTATAATTGAATAGTGAATAAGGATACGGCGTTTTCCCGTTTTTCTGCAGTTTTGCACGAACCAAACCCTTTTGGAAAATCAAAGTAGCTCAACTTGTATACATCATTACAAATCACAATAAATAGGCTGATTCACCAAACATGCTCAACCTCATATTTTCTTTCAAAAATTAATTTATTCAAATTCTGGTTTTTGGAATTTTGAAATATATTTAAGGACTACTTAAATTACTTAAATTGCATGATTTGTTTAAACAGTACCTATATACAATAAATTCAGATAGATTTTTGAAAGAAATTCGAATTTTTCCAGTCGTTTTTCGGTCGAGCACACATCAATCCTTCGGCGGCGGCGTCAGCCAAGTGCAAGTCGGGCAGCGATCGGTGTGTGATTGACAAGAAAACCCGAACATCGTGCAAGGCATGCCGGCTGAAGAAGTGTCTGGCCGTGGGCATGTCGAAGAACGGTTCACGGTACGGCCGTCGGTCCAACTGGTTCAAGGTCCACTGTCTACTCCATGAAAGGCGACTTCTAACCACCGGCCACAAAGACCACTACGATAAGGGTGAAGTCAGCCCTACACTGCCACCACTGTCACATACCCCACGTATGGCGCTGTTTTCTTTACCTTTACCGCTGCTGATGGCGCCACCGTTATTCCAGCTTCTCGGTAACGCACCAAGCGGTCGGGCTCCGTTACCGAGGTCTGAGTGGTCAGCCTTTCACGAGATCACCGCCTTCGGATTAGTAGACGAAGATCACCGACCCGTAGATCTCACCGTTCGACAGTCGGCCGACGACAAAGATGACGACAACAACAACAACAACAACGAGACAACCGCATGGAAGACCACCAATAAGTTAAGACTGCTGCAGCAGAAGGACGCGTCCGCAACGCCTCTCGACCTCTGCATCGGGACCACCCACCGCCAAAACTTGGCAGGTGACGGCCGTTCTTGACGCCCGCAACGAGATGGCGTGTTAAGTCTAAAATGATATATACGATACTGCCAAGACATGGCAAGCCACTTGAGAATAACTATAACTACCGATCGCAAACCCAAACAAATATAAACAAACCACATTCTCCCACCAACATACTTCGCTGTTTAGACTACCAGACTAAGAATCGGACTTATCACCCTATAAATCCATCTTACTCAACCCATCCATAGTGCACGAAGGCTCTAGGAGAATATAACGCAATTCTTGATTATGAGTTTTTTCTAAGACCCAGGTATTGATACCAAAATATAATATTATTATATGTTAACTTTGTAAAATATATACACTCGACTTAATGGAATAAGTTAAGTAACATTAAGTCTAAATAAGATATTTGTATTGTAAATTAAAGCAAATGCCTAATAATTATATATCTAGAATAAATAATAGATATAGAAGTTGAAGCAATTATTTCTAATAAAAAAAAAATTGTCTCTAGTTACGAGATACAATCATTGCCTTCGCGGAATGAAAATACCTACGATTTCTTGTGGTAAACTAAATCCTACAAATTGCAATTGTTTCAACTACTACTGTACCCCATAATTCTCTTATAAAATTGTAAATAATTTGTCTTCTCTGTTGAAAATTACAATACCTGTAAAACTGCTTTCTCCAGCTGAAGTTAAACATTAGAATTATACATTCCCAAAAAGATAGCCTCCTGGATTCGATCTCACAATATGTGAAATGATCCCTTCCAAGAAAAACTTTAATACTCCTCACTTGGATATTTTAATGAAATTATTCATTAAGCTTATTTTCTGCTACAATGGAAGTTTTCAATCATAATAATTAATAGATATTCCAAAACCTGACGTACAGTCCAATCCTCCCCTTATCATACAAAAAAATAATCTATCTACCTTTCTTCTCGTAGGTACTCGAAAACCTATTACTAAAAATAATTAGGTCAAACATAAATAAACATAAAATAATCCTACTTCCTGATTTTTCCCTATTTTTTGAATCCTATACCTCAATGATTGTCAATTTTGCGCCCGATATCGCTCTTGTCTCTCATCAATCTTAATTAAACAATAAGCCGGAATTCCTAAAAGTTCAATAGCAGGTCCTGCTCTATTCAAATTCAATATAGAGCAGATCAACTCACTTTTAAAATAATAACTACATTTTGACCTAACACTTTTATCTCAAAATATGCCTATAATAAAGCAATCTTCACTGTTCACATAAACAGTTAAACGTATTGTACGAAAATCGTATAAATTGTTTGAAAACTGTTTCAAATAAAATCTCTATATCATCATCCTGCAAGTACCTATACTTACATGAGTTTACTTGCACATCGCATAAATAAACAGTAATTTTTATCTATGTATAGTGTCTCAGTAATAATTTTCTAAAATGACTTCCGACTTTACATATTATACAAACGTAAACTTAAAGTGACTCAAAACGAAAATACTCACTACAACTATAATATTATTATAATATGCACTCTGTGTGTACATTTGTTCGTATATACTTTTATGTAGGTACCTCAAGCAGGAATATATTGTTGGATTACGCTGGTCATGGACTGTATTGTATGCACACTGTATACATGTATACGGTTGTAAGTGGCAATATCCTCTGCCCACCCACGTCCACTTAATACGTACCGACACGGTGCACGATTTATTGGTTTATTTTAATTTTAACCTTTTTTTTATATACTCTTGTAATTGATGACGTTTACAACGATGTCCTCCGAGTTAGTACAGTCACGTGTTATTTTTAGTACACATAAATATATATTATCTATAGGTATTAGATATATTATGTTACTGTACTACTATATAGATGAATTTGTAAATTGCATTTTCTGTATCGCGCAGCACATCATTGTTCGCGTAATGGTAATGCGCATTAATGCATATAGCAAAAATTAAAATTTTACCTCACTGTTAAATCGTTACCATCATGATATTTTATTTCGTGTTCATAATATTCATTAATCGTTGTGGTCGAAAATGTTTAACTACATGCTATTAACGATTTACAAAGATCGGACGGAATAAAATTATTTGTTCGTGAAATAATTATCGGTTATTATTTATTTATTATTATTAACGTCGACTGCATGTGACTCGGACGGCAGAAGGCCGCGGCTACGAAGCTCGTCGAGGTTATGCATATATGTATAGATACCTACATTATTGTAAATACTCACTTTTTCGGGTGATGAATTTCTGAAACAAATGCACAATTGTAAACGTATACGTATAAGTATATATATATATACGTCCGAAACTCGCATGTGTGATTCGATATAAAGACATTGACCTAAGGGGACGGATCAGATTGACCTATCGAATTAGTGACTTTTTTTTATGATCGTTTATAATATTCGTTTGTATACCCATCGACGGCGGCGGCACATTAATCAAAATTGTTTGAATTGACACACGGCAAACCGGAGATATAGATAAACATTAGTCCGCAAGCACACACACACACACACACACACACACACACACACACACACACACACACACACACACACACACACAC